AAAAAAGAAAAGAATTATGGCTTATATATGAATGTACAGGCTCTATAATCACCTTATATGATCTTTAGGGTCAAAATGTAAATAATTGTTGTTGGGTTTTTTTACTCCATGACACTGAATACGTGTAAAGTTCACAATTGTAAAAATGTGTGTTTATGAGGTACTGACAATTAGTTGAATGACATAAGATGGTGGTGCAGTGAAGGCAGCCATCTTTGACTAGAAACTAATGTTAGAGTTGTGTTGTTTAGCATTCATCCACTATGCTAATTCAATATTGTCTCTATCAGTGGTTTAAACCACGTTTATTTCTAACTTTTGTGTGTGTATAATGTCCTTTATACAGTTTTGCCTGGTAGCACTCATCCACTCATGTAGCTGAGTATCTGTGTGACAGTAAACAGCCCTGGTACATGTAAATTATTGAAGTGGCAGGTGAGTCTGTCTTGCTCAGTGTTTGTCAGTACCTCATACCACTCCACTTCCAAAGCACCTGACATGTCCCTTTAAGGAGATGCAAAAACATACATATTACCAAAATAAACAGTACCCTGATGTTTTCACAATAACAACAAGTCAGTCAACTCTTAACAGGATTAATGAGTATATACAGTTTGGACAAAGTTTCATACATATATATATAAAAAAATACAAAAATATGAAGAGAACAATGTGAGGTACATGAGACAATGGTTTACAGGCAGCATCTGGACAGGACTAATGCCACGAGACCTGTGGACTCTGTGGCTGTGTTACAGCTGAGACTCTGTCCACATTTTATCTCTTCCAGCCAGAAATTCTTTCCAGGCTCCTTCTGATAAGTAAAGCTGCCTGTGTGGTAAAACTGTGGAGCTAATGGCATTTCCTTTACACCTGAATGCCTGATCTACAGGAATCAACATCACTCTGCCATCTGGGAACATTTATTTCTGACCTTCCATCCTTTACTCATGAGTAAGTAGTGTGTGTGTGAGAGAGAGAGAGAAAGAGAGAGAGAAAGAGAAAAAAAAGAGAGAGAGAGAGTTTAGACTGTTTGTGTAAAATGGAAATTCTTTTGGACTCAGAGAGAGTATAGTGAAACAGCACTCAAAGGCAACACACACGGCTTTGTGTAAATATGGGCGCTCCATGAGTGAAGTACAAAAGTGACAAACAAGATAAAGGAGTTACTGATCAAATTTATCAGAAATGTATGTAAATGTATGTGCAATGCAGCACCTGTGCTTTTTATCCAAACGATTCCAGACACATAGACACAGTACAACAAAAGAACAACAAATAAATTCAAATTAACTTCAAATTACTTATTAATGATGCAGGTAACAGTCCATCACGTCATGTTTTTTTCCTGTCTCTTGTGTTTTAATATCTATTTTCCTCTAAATACACTGAAAAAGTAAATTCAAAATAAAATATTTGAGCTGCTTCCAAGAGGTTTTTAGCTGCTGCCATGTATCACTCACAAAAATCACAATGTTCTGACGTCTAGTCCGCAACCGTTGGGTTGCCCCTTGTGGTTTACTGCTTCACATCTAGTTTCCCGGCTATGTATATTTGATATACACAACCTATGCAGTGGAATAAGCAAACTGAAGGCACAAAACGGTAACAGTGTGTGATGTTCACCATTGACGAAACAAGAGTTAAATAGCAGTACACTCCAATACAAAAATAAATGTGAATAAAAATAAATAAATAAGACATTTTCAGTCCTGATATGTACAGTACTTACACCAGATTTATTTACAATATGCACAATGTGGTCTTAGGAGAGGAGGTCACGTTATGGACGGATTCAAGGTGTAGCAACAGAGAAGAGGGATGAGTGGAGATCACCTGATGAGAGGACTGCTCACATGACTGGGAATGAACGCTGAGGACAGGAGGAAGACAAAGAAACTAAATCAAAAACATACAAATTAGTAATAATAACAGTAATACTATGAACGTGTCTTTTAGCATATGAGCCTATTTATTTATTATTTTTTTGTTTCTCCAACTCACCACTAACCTGAACGATAGTACGTGGTTATCATGCCACTGTTACAGCTAAACTGGAGCCAGAGGACGGTGTACATTTACCGCAGTAGCCTCCGCATACTCCTGACACTCTGCTGCCATCCTGTGGGCACAAGAGGAATAACGAGAGTTATTCGTGAGAAAGGTACTTCGTATTTCACCCCAAAGTACCAAGTCATATTTGAAAAAACAAAAACAAGGACAGAAACAGTTAATAATAAACGTAATCCGTAGCTATTTAGTTTTTTTTAAACCTTGTTAATAATAAACGTAATCCGTAGCTATGTATTTTAGTTTGTTTTTTTTAAACCTGCTGGTTGGTCCAGAATCCATTGACTAGCTTGCTGTAAAAAGGTCAGACTGAGAAGAGTTTTTGGCACCTTCTCTACCTCCCTGTTTGTGTTGTGGCAGAAGCATTCGACCAGCTTGATCTCCATTTCAAAAGCATGGGCACAGGAGGGAGCAGCTGCCCAACAAAGGTCCTTTCTCAATAGGTTTATGAGAAGTTGTGCTGGGAATACAGAAGTCATTTGGGCATGTGTCTACCTTATACTCTGAAGCCAAATGGCCAACAGTGAAAAGAAAGAAAGAGTAGAGGGAGAGAATGGTGGGAAGAGATGGTGAAACAGGAGTAAAGGGAGTGTAGAAGAAGAACAGTTCTACTGTGGGTGGACAGTTAAGTAGCAAAGAAGCTAGGTAAGTCCAATAAATCTGAAGGATAACCTCGGGTTTATCTTTTAAATAAACTTGCCATATGAGATTTCAGCTTTTGTTTTGAGTCACGTCACATGTGGCAGCATCATGGTGAAAAAAAAATGTAGTTTAGATTGAAAAAGCTGAAGAAGGAGTTTATGAACCAGAGTGAATAATTAATGTAAATAATATTAATTAATATTATTTAAATGACACAGCAATGACGTGGCAGAAGTATTAAAGATGATTAAAACATCAGTCTAAACCCCTAAAACCAAACTGACTTTTGAATGTGATTCATCATTCATCTTTACCATTACCATTATCATTATTAAGAAGATGAACATAGAATATTGTTAATACTGTACCTGTGATTGTCGCACATCAGCCACAGCATAGTTGCCTTGTGAGATCCAGGAGGCACCACCTGCCACCTTTAACCCGGTCCCTGACAGGTTGACTCTGAACTGGCCCTGAAGTGACAGGAAGAGTCAAAGGAAGAGGTTATAATCCTTGGGCTGGTCAGCAATTTAAAATTGTTATCACAATTAATCGCAAGAGTATATAACATTGTATATAACATAGTATATAACAATAACAGTTAGTTTGTAAAGGTTTGTAGGTTATCTTTTGGCTAATGCTAACTCGTTTTCCAGCCAAACCAGCGTTGTTTTTTGACGAGTTTTAGTTAATTTCAAACTCTTAAATAGCTTAAGAGACCTCATGGCTTGAAGATGGTACCGTTTTGACAAGTCTTGAGCTCGTCTTTCCTCACTTTCTTTATGTATGACAGTTGAGCTCCTCACCTGTGGACAGCGGGCGGCGCTGTAGCAGTCACCAGCCGTGGCGAATGGAATGTTCTTGCCTTCTGGAGTCAAAGCGAACTGCCAGTCTGTCGCTGAGGGGACAAAAGTAGAGCCATTCAGAGCAGTTTCATTTCTGTTAGTATTGGAACAGTGAAAACATCAGAGACACTTTCACCCTTCGTGGGTGAAAACGTAATAAAAGCGTGTGCTTGTATATATGTGTTTGTGTGAATGTGTGTGTATTCTGAATTAGGGTTAGGGTCAGGCATACATTTGTAAAGCTCAAGATTAGAGATTAAGGAACGCACTATGAAAACCAGACTATGAAAACCAGACTGGCTGTGTGTGCGTGTGGGTGTGCGTGTGTGTGTGCGTGTGGGTGTGCGTGTGTGTGTGCGTGTGGGTGTGCGTGTGTGTGTGCGTGTGGGTGTGCGTGTGTGTGTGCGTGTGGGTGTGCGTGTGTGTGTGCGTGTGGGTGTGCGTGTGTGTGTGCGTGTGGGTGTGCGTGTGTGTGTGCGTGTGGGTGTGCGTGTGTGTGTGCGTGTGGGTGTGCGTGTGTGTGTGCGTGTGGGTGTGCGTGTGTGTGTGCGTGTGGGTGTGCGTGTGTGTGTGTGTGTTAATAGGCCACTCACTGATAATGTTCATCTTGACGATATCCAGACGGACTTTGGAGAAGGTGGTGATGCCAGCAGACGTGTAGTCCCTCCGACAGTCACAGTCTGTTTGTCTGGAGCCATTTGCTGGACACTGGGTCGGGTCGTTGAGCCTGGGACAAGACACACACACACACACACACACACACAACAACAACAACAACAACCTTAAACTTTAATACCATTACACAATGTCTTCTTCTTGTTTGCTTCATTTTAGTTATTAGGTGAAAATGTCCACCTAATGATCTGAATCAAAGGTTTAACGTCTTCTTCAACAAAAATCTACAGTACTTCAATGCAACTGTCCAAGTTTTCACAGTGAGGTTTGGTTTTCGGAGAACTCTTCTAACAACTGCACAGTGAGATTAGTGATAAAACTGTCATTTTATTACAAAGGTTGTAATGAGGAGAAATATTTCACCTGAAGCCAAATATCTCAGAGAAGTTCTCCCCTTCTCCTGTCATTAAGGTGACGTACTCCTGTGGAGAGTCTGACTGCATTCCTGTACAGTACCTGAGGAGAGAACAAATGTTGAGGAGTTTGGGTTTGAGAAACAAGGTGGTTTAAAAGTTGCAAAAATAACCCAAAAATATCTAAAATATATAACTACACTTTATTTATCTTTTGGCTGGGTTCGCCACTTATACTCAGGTGCAACTTATATATTAAAAAATATATAATTTCATGTTTGGTTTTTATACACCGACAGCCGCTAGAGGGCACTGGTGCGACTTATACTTCAGAGCGACTTATATTCTGGAAAATACGGTATACATATCAACAAATTATTTTGTGATAGCTGAAAATTGTGATACATACCTAAACCTGGATTTAAAAATGCCTGGTAAATAATTTTTTATTATTTCCTTTCTTAAAACTACTCTCCTTTATCTGATTTACATATATTAAACATCCAAAATGATAACTGAAAATGAGTGAAGTAATAGCCAATAACATGCCACAGTAGACAAATATTCAGCCAAATATTTCGCCAAAATTATATCCAGAACTAAATACAAGTATTTAGAAAGTTAAAGGTTAGCAACAACATGTTATTACTTTATTTTTATTTTAAAATTGTTGAAAATGTGCCATGGTGGATTTTCCAGTGACTGTAACCAGAGATGATCAAATACCTTGAGGGTTTTTCCTTGAATCTTCAGAAAGTGTTCTCCATCTGGGAGGAGACCATTCATGCTCTGGACCTCCTGACAGCTGGACGGTAGATAGCCTTAAAACACACACACACACACACACACACACATACAAATAAAAAAAAACAATAGGGAGCCATTAAGGAAAGATTTGATCCAGAACAGAGATTTAGGCTGTACACGTGTAGATTTCAGGAGCTAAGTCAACTATGGTAAATCACTGCATGGAATCAAAGAAAACCTTATGTCCACCGACTCTTTCATGTCCTATCTCACCGTGGTGTAGAAAACATAAAAAACTTTGATGTTTGTCCAGGATCATAAATATTTCACCAGAGGCTCAATCACAGAAACGAGTGGATTATGTAAAGACCTAGTTAACACTGGCATCAGCCATGTCATTCCAGTAGCATTAACCTAGTGGGTTTCAACCTTGGGTTGGCACCCCCACAAGGGTTACCTGGAATTCAAATGGGGTCGCGTGAAATGTCTAGTAAACGAGTAAATCTAGTAAATAAAGCTGACGCATCTTGATTGACAGCTGCAATCACCTGACTGATTGCAGCTGTCAGGTGCAAAAAGAGGTCTCTGGGGTCGCTAGAATTTGGTGATGTCAAAATGGGGTCACAGGCCAAAACAGGTTGGGAACCAGTTAATTAACCTTTAGTTTAGTGTTTAGGTGTTTCCTAACTTACAGCTTGGATTTTTGCAGACTTTCCTGGCTTCCGGTCTGGTGTCCAGAGGACAAGTACTGCCTTCCTGACCGTCTGTGGACACACACCGCACTGTCCTCTCCATCACTCCATCACCACAGCTGACTGAACACTGCAGGGAAGGAGACACAATTTGTCATTAACAGACATAAAAACCCAGTCTGGACGTGTCTCGTCCTCAAATCAAAGACAGTTAATATGGCAGTTGTGTAAAGGTCAGAAAAGAGGGCTATTAGCTAGCTAGAAGTATTAGCTAAAAGGACCGACAGGTAGTTTAAAAAGTTAGATTTAAAGTCAGCCTCTAAAGTCTCTTAAAGACAAAAACTGATAAAGTAAACACAGAAGAGGGATACAATAAGTCATTACACACAAAACAACAGGACAGTCTAAAATAAAACCAAATAGTTAATTTACACCAGAAAACAACAAAACAAAAACAACTTCAGGGTCAAAGAAAAAATATTTTTGCTTATTAAATTTAGTTTGCCAAAAACAAAAACAGGTTACCGTTACTAAAAATGAATCAAATTAGATTAAAAAGAAAAAAAACAAAACACATCACACAAGAAAACAAAAACAACCAAAAGAGCCTAGCAACATTGTAGAGTTAGCGGTTAGTGGTTAACAGTAAGATGGATGGATGGATGGATGGATGGATGGATGGATGGATGGATGGATGGATGGATGGATGGATGGATGGATGGATGGATGGATGGATGGATGGATGGATGGATGGATGGATGGATGGATGGATGGATGGATGGATGGATGGATGGATGGATGGATGGATGGATGGATGGATGGATGGATGGATGGATGGATGGATGGATGGATAAATAAAGCAAGTATGTTCTGAAGTGCTTTATTTAAATGTTGTGTTTTTAAAGCTTTTTAGACTTCTAATTTATTTCCTCTTTTCATACATTTTTCTAATAAATACTAACAACAAAAATGTTTGACTCACCACTCCCCAGATTCCAACCCTCCAGTCCTGTGGGGGCAGACAAGGTCCAAGATTACAAGGCATGTAGCTCTCGGGGGGAGTGCCGGGGCAGTTGGACAAAGACTGATGGCCGTACTCATAGTTGTCGTTCTCCACATGCACTTCACTGCAGGAGACCAGACGCTGGCGGTAGCCCTGACCACAGCTGGCCGAGCACTGCAGCCGAGAGTAAATCACCAGCATGAAATAACAAAGGGATTCCTCACAAACCAAACTCGTCTGTGAGCTCAGAACGTTCCACACAGCCACGTTCAAACCTTGGATTTTTTTTGTTGGAAGCTTTTATACAGTAATTTAGTCAGATTTTACTTGTTTTTCAAAATGAAAGGCATCCTTGGATCTCACCTGGGTCCATTCTCCTGTGATCCAGATGAATTCACAGGCATGAACGTTGCAGCTCTCTATGTCTGGAGGTCTGATCTGGTTCACGCAGTACATCTCATGGACCTCCTGCTGATGGCTGTCCACACACTGCAACGTTCGTCGCCTGTAGCCTGATCCACAGGACTTGGTGCACTGTAGTAGAATAGGACAGATACAGTACGGTTTACAGGAAAACAATTCACTTTTAATAAAGCTCTGAACAAGAACACGCGTGACCAAAGAGGCACACGGGCCTCAAACACAGCATTATTATAGGCTTCAAGATTTCCTTTGTGAAAGTGTGTAGGAGTTGTCCAACCGGTTTTAAGCTGATTTGGCAATTTTTTTTTTTTTAAGTCAACAATTCTAAAATGGTTTGCTGAAAAATGAAACAAGTACGATTTGGTGTAAATAATTCTTAAAACTAAACTATGCATAAAAGCTGACATTAGCAGTAGCTTTGACTTAGCCAAAGTAAAACAGCGCCCAGGGTGAATCACAATGTCATTTACCAATGAAGAATCCATAGGAAAAAAGACAGCGAGGCTCATCATCAAAACTCAAAAAAATTAAAAAGTCATAGGCCAAATCATACTGTCGGACACACGTGACTTATGTAGTACAACTCTGCCAGTATCAGTGCCATAAAAGTTAACAAGAAACATAAACGTGCATTAAGTGAATCTGGCAGAGAGTTGAAGAAGCTTTTGTAACATTTCAGCCTCTGCTTTCATTCATGTCACGAAGCCTGAGTGAGGTTTCCACTTGCGTCAGAGACACGGAGTGTTGTGACTACAGTGGACCGCAGCTGGTCTTCATCACGAGGACAACACACAGCTCTGTCAAACAACTGAAAATACCTGGAACTGCTGTTGTGTTGTAATCTGTGCCACTAATAATGAGAGCAAGACTTTACAAGTACTGTAGTACTGTATACAGAAAGAAAAACTACAAAAGGATCTGTTTTTCCTGGTAACGTAATGGCTTACCGTCTGCCACTCTCCCTCTTTCCATCGGTACCGGCTCGGACACTCGGGCAGTCTGCAGCTCTGAGTAGATGACGGTCTGGATTTCTGAGAGCAGCTGCTCTCTGGTAAACTCTGCTGGTCAGGGAGATAACAGAAAACCTCCCTGCGTTGGACGCCATCCCCACAGGAAGAGGAACACTGAGAACAGACAAGAACAAAGAGTTTAAGAATAATTTACACTTTTTTTTTCTTTTCCTCCTTGACTTCCTGTAGGCCTTTGTAAAATGTTTCTCTGAATGGATCCCTGTGCCACCTGAGGTAGAATTTGTCACAGCTGACTGTAAATGTGTGTCTGTGAGTTGTGTCCGTTGCAAAACACCAATGGAAGTAGCTACAAGTTAGCTTAAAACTAGCCCAAGCTAAATAGCTAAAAAAAATAATTATAATAAAATGGTAACAGCTGTGGTGGAATTATAACTTCAGGATGACGAATCTGTCGTTGGTGAAAGGACAAATAAGGATAAGGAACAAAAAGTGTCTCTTTGAAAAGATTACTTTTAGTTTCCCAAGGTCAGACAAGGTCTCTCAAATTTGACCTTGCATTTGTTTGTGATTCGGACATTAGAGCAACAACCAGCAGAATAAAAACCAATGGCTTGTTTATTTTCCCGGGTTTGAGGGGAAAACAAAGATGGTGGAACGTTACTGGGATCACATATTTTCTCAAGTGAAAATTTCCACCTAATTTTAAAGAAACTCTTTGGTCAACTCCTGTAACAGAGTTCCTGATGTCAAACTGTGTCAGTTTCTTCACTTCTTGATGTCTTGGCAGTTGAATCCCAGGCAGCCTGTTGCACCTTGGGTAATCTCTCTGCTTATATTGAAGCCTCGTGAAGAGGCTAATTTTTCTGCTGGCATTTGTCCAGCTGCACAGCTGTTCAGTGAGGACGCACATCCTGTGTGACGTATGGAGCACATGTGCTCAGACAGTGGAGACAGAGAGAGAGAGAGAGAGAGAGAGAGAGAGAGAGAGAGAGGGGAGAAAGACAAGACAAGAGAGGAGCCTTGAAGACAAACTAGGAAAAAAACCAGCAGTCAGGAATACCAGCTGTCCAGGTGCAGTTTGTGAGCCATGATGACGTGAGTGACTTGGAGCTTTGGTGGGGGGTTTATGAAGAAAGGACCGACATATGGTTTCCATCAAGGTGGGGTGGACGACAAAGCCAAGAAAAAAGGTGCGGGGGTGAATAAGGGTCAGAAAGAAAAAGCCAATGGAGGAAAGAGAAACAGGGAGGGAGAATGAAGAATTGTAAAGACAGAGAGGACTGGTCACTGGTTTAAACCCTGGTGGCAATGAATCCAGGCTTTCCTAAAGAAAAACACTGATTTCAGAAACTTTAAGAATTTGTCAGAGCTGGCTGTAAATGTGTGTCTGTGAGTTGTGACCATTGCAAAACACCAATGGTGGTTGTTGGTTATGGGCCTAAACAAGGCGTTTAGTATTTGTTTCTCTTAACACCAACGTAGAGCATCCATGATGGAAGTGACCAAAAGTGTCAAGTAGCTTTTGTCATAACAAATGATTGAAATTGATAAAGATTGAGACACAGTTCGCATCATGTATCATTTAGTTTAGACTTATAAAAATATAAAATAAATATTTTGTTGACGCAACAGAAATAGCTACGAAGTTAGCTAAGTTAAGTTAGCTTAAGTTAAGTTAGCTTCAAACTAACAAAAAAAATATTGCATAAATAACTTGTAGCAAAATGGTGATTAGAAACAAGAAACTAAAACAAAGAAGAAACGCTGCATCCATTCTCTACAGTGGAATCTTTCCAACTGCCCCCCACGTACTTAGAAAATCTCAAACACAAATGCACACGCTCCCCCTGAATCACAGGAATGTTCCAAACAAACAAAGTGGAGAGTCAGTGGTCGTGACATTCTGTCTGAGTTTGCAGTTTTTTAGCCACATGCATGAATACACTCCAGTTTAAGCTGCATATGTTTCCACATCTGTGCACATATTTGTCTGCAAGCTGATAAGGATTAGGATGGAATGGAAAGAAGAAAGGGAGGCTGAAGGAGAGGGGCGGGGATTCTGGCAGCGTGAGAACAGCGGTGGCAGAAGAGTGTTTTATAGCAGAGCACCAGAGGGTCCTACCTCTCCCCAGTTGCCCGTCTTCCACTTGGGGCATTGTCCGCCTCGGCAGCGCTTCTGCTTGCTGGGTTTGGCCGACAGGTGATGACAGTTTTCCTCCGGGACTGCACGTCCTGACCCGGTCACACAGCTCACCTTGCGGGATTTGAAGCCTCTTCCACACGAGGCTGAACACTGCAAAATGTCAGAAGACACAAGGAGTTACACAGTGAGGTACACTTTTCTGAATGGTATAATAGTGGTTTTCAGTGGAGGGAAGGTGAGTTTTGGGAAAACTGTCAAGTTTAAAATGTTTTTTGTGAACATTTATTATCGCTGAACCATAAATTTGAATAAGCAACATCTTTATTTAGAAGAGTGGATGTAGCTCCTGTGGTTCCTGGGGAAAAATAATCCAGTTCCATGAAAAAATGTAGCGATGTCAACCTTGAATTACAACGTCAATAAATATTTTCTTCAGCAGTTTCTGTCTAAGTATTGGTTTTAGCATTTTCTTAAGTAAAAACATTCATTTGGTGAATTCTCAGTGAAGACAGATGATTGAACACTGTGTGTGATTAACAGATGTGCCCATCACAACAACTATATTTCTAAGTCATTCTAACATTTATTGAGCATCCAAACATCTAAAAGCTTAGAGATCAGACATCGATGTGCAACTGAATAGTTACGAGTACAACTTTAGAACCAGACGGAACATGCGTCCTTCAACAATTTCATGCTCCGCCCTTAATAAATGTAAATTTTTATAAATTTGTCTTTTATAATCAACTTGTCTCAGTGTCATGATTAAAGTTACGCACTTATCATTTTAAATGTTGAAAATTATGAGAAAATAATGAAAAAAAATTCTATTAACAAAATAATCGAGGACTATGTGCTGCATTTAAAATCCATATGACCTCAGTCACTGGGAGTCTGACATTGTTGTCCAACCCTGATAAAAAAAAAGGTCATGACAATGACTTATTTTTCAGTCTTTATCCAAATAAAGTAAAAAAAAGGGAAGGGAGTTGAGGCACAGTGTGTGTGTGTGTGTGTGTGTAAAACCCACATACACACACACTAACTCGCTCTGCTTGGATAATCAAAGAGTTTATTTTGAATAAGTGATGGATGTGAAGTGACGGGAGCTCAGAGCTGAACGTGAACACGGTCCAGTGTGTGTTGGTTCTGCTGCTGCTGTGCTGACCAGGAACAGGAACACATTCTGACCTCTCACCTCTCTCAGGAGGTGGAAGGAGGAAGAGCGAAGAAGACTAAAACCAGAGGGAGGTACGTCCTGACACACTGAACACAACGTTTGTGTCTGTGAGTCTGTTTCTCTTCTAAATAAAGATGATTTGTTTTCTCTCCTCAAACGACTGTTCTCAAAGATTAATAAAAAATGTTTTTTGAGTCTTTTTTAATGTTTTTGTTCTTATTCTTATGAGTGTAAAAGTGTGCAGGGTTGGTCGAAGGACTGATTCTATGGGAACCATCCAAATTGGCCATATGTGGATAAAGAAAAACTAGCAACGAAAGCTAGTTAGCTAAGTTAGCTTTTGGCTACATAATTGGCTAATGTTTCAGTTTATGATTTTATGCGTTGGCATCAACTTTAACCACAGTTGTCGGTAAATTCTATAAATATTTTGATCATTTTCTGACTGTCTCATGGATGACGGATGTGCAGTTATGACAAACCTTCTAGGTTTCTAGAACTTGGTAAAAACAACTTAAAATACCCTCTCTATGTGGTGTTTAATATAATGATGAGGTATACGTCATATTTGTTTTAATATTGCTTCTATTATTTCGTTTTGTTGTTGTTTTTTCACAGCCTGGTGACAACAAGTGCATACAATTGATTTTGTTAAAAATGGTTGGGTCTAGATCTGGTCTAGACAAACAAGATAAATGCATAACTACTGCCTTCAATGCCTGTCAATATAATAAACATTTAAAATTATGAGTGGCTTTCCTTGCACATGACCTTTGACCTGCCACAGCCTACTCCCTCTGTGGAATGACACTGGTTGCTATATCAAACCAGAGTTCAACGAGTATAAAAACAATACACACACACACGCACGTCAGCAACAGGCAGTAAAAACCAGAATATTAGTAAAACCAGGATTTACCTTGAGAAAAAAAGCTTTGAACCGAGAGGCCCTCAAAGAGGTCAGCAGAGGCCCTGACCATTTAAAATAACAATGCTAATGCTCGGTGATTTGTGTCTTTCTTTCAGGATAAACAGAACGTTGAGCGGACCAATGGGAGGAATGTTGTATAAGGTACTTTTTCTAGGTGCAGTGTTACACAACAACAACACAGTAGAAGAGTTATTTGGGGGAGCAAGTGAAGTGAGCTTCCAGCCAATCAGAAAGGCTGGTGCATATGCAAAGATAACTTCTGCTCTGACCAGTGACCCTGTCTCTTGAGCAAGGTTTTGATAAGGTTCCTATTATTGGTTTATATTCCTAGTTCGATGTGGTTAAAAGATTTGCGTTAAAGTGTAACCCAGTCTCATAATGACTGTGAAATTACAGCGTGCCCTGCACATGGTACCGCAAGTACAGGTGAAGCTTTCGTTTCCATCACTCTGGTTCAAATAAGAATGAAAAAAGCCTTTGATGGTACCTCTACTTCACTTTAATCGTAACCTTTTTTTGGGGAAATAGACAGAAATCCAACAAATTCATGTTAAAAAAATTAAATATTGACATAACAATGTAGTGAAGAAAGAATAAATACAGATAATTACACAAATATACAGAAATACTTTTTATGACAGTCTAATACTGCCATTTGTGAAGACACCAAACACTATATGTTATTTTAAGAGCCTGCAGGAGTGAGTTTCACCACAACTTTGACAATTAAAAACAAAACTAAAGGTACAATTAATGACTGAAATATTTAAGAGCGGTGTACAGAGTTCACAATCATAATAAGTAAATGATAAGTCGTACTGTGTACTGCTGTGTTAACAGGCTCTTAAAATAAGTCATCTGTACTGCAGACATTCATGTGACCCAGCAGAGTCAAGAGTTCTGATGTGTCAAGAAGGAAGAATCTAAGAGTTGATTCTATCAGTCCTGACCAGAAACACTTTCCAAATGTCCTAGAACAAATTACTCATGTTAGAGTTCCTCAAACACGCCCGTTAAAACGAAAATTCCAAAATTTTCTACATCAGAAAATGCAAATGTTTTGGAAAAACGCAAATACTTTGTTGGTGCTGAATAAGGTGTAAGACTTGTCAGACAAAAATTCTGCCCCCAGAGGTTGGTTTATGACAGCTACTCTCCTAAAACAGCGCGTCTGTGCTGTTTAGGTGTAACCATTACAGAAACGCCAAGAACTCTGGCTGTAACGTACTTATTATTTTTGGAAATGAGTGATTAAAAATTAAAAACTCAAAATATATTTGGGGCAAATGTGTTTGCTATCATAGCATATTGATATTTAAGGAGCTGAAAAAAAATAAAATGGCTGTTGTCCAATATTTAAAGTAACCGCAGAAAACAGCAATGTTGTTGACGTCACACGTCCTCTGTATGACTGAATTATGGGGTTTCAAAGAGTCAGGATTTTGCCGGTAACTAATTGGTTTTAGGAGTGAGGTAGATGCATGATTGTGGCTCAGACGGAGAGATGTGGGCACAGAAAAAAATAAAATGTGTGACATTTTTACAGCTTTGTTATATTAGATTTTTGTTATAGAGACTACAACTGTTTCATAGACACAAAAATGCATAGGGAAAGGACACTTTGGCAAACTCCCAGCTGTAGAGCTTTGTGTGTTTTCTTCAATTCCTGCAAGTCTCTCGGTGTTGTGTTCAACTAAACCGGCGTAAGTTTCATGAAAGGTCATTAAATTGTGGGTAAATGGAAAATAGAAGATTTTATATTTTATTATATATACTTTTTGTGAATTTTTGGTGTGATGGGTGTGTGTTTTTTGTGATGTAAAAATATTTGCTTTGGCTCAAAAACCTCCCCCAGATTTAGAGCACTGTACTTTGCATATTCTAATCGTACCAAAATAAACTTATTTAATTTAATTTTAACTTGATATAAATGATGTCACTGATGTCGTGTTGAATTAAAGTGTGATGTGTGAATTTGCAACAATGTTGTTGCTGAGCGTAAAATATAAATGTTAGTAAACACATAACCCTAATTCGAGCACCTTTGGAGCAGAGAATATATAAAAGCAACCTATGATATTGGCTCATTAAAAATATCTAAACAGATACCTGGCTATAACAATTTTAATTTACACAAACTCTGTAAGACACTTTATTTTACAGTGGGCGCTAAAGTGACATTTACGTTTGACTGGACTTTTCTGGGAAATTGAAAATGTAAAAAAAGACTTGCACTGTAAATTTCCCCATTGTGGGATGAATTGTAATTATTGATGATGTTTTGAATATTGTGATAAAAAATACAGGTTGGCGTTAAAGGCAGCAGTGGATCACAATCCCCTGTGTGTTATAGTGTTAAGTTACAGATGTCATCGGTGAACTTGAAATCCTGTGAGCTACAAACACTTTCCTGAATGTCAATAAACTGTAAAATAAAGTGTCTACATAGGATTAGTAGCTTCTCTAAAGAAAACACATGTGCCTTAAGACAACTTCTTCATACATTAACCCTATCTAAAACATATATATTTATACTGTATATAGTGTATAGTACAAAGATGAATAGATCATATACAGTCCTATGCAAACCAGCACTGTGACAGTTCAGGCGCCTCTATGTCTTTGAGAATTCTAGGACATTTTTCAGGGTAAATAAAAGAACATTTCATCACAGTGCTGTGTATATTCCAGATATACAAAAACATTCATCAGAATTTGCACATAAACAACAACTCACTAATGTGTAAATACAAAATCTAAGACATAGAATTAATCACTAAAAAAAGTTAATAAGCTATATACAGAAGGTAAAAAATAGAAAATAAGAAAAATAATTCAATAAATTATATAAAAAAACAATATTTTACAAAACTATGTGTTTCTGTGGTACAAAGTGATGCTAAACCTATCAGCGGCTCCACGGCAATGAGGGCTGATGAAAACAGTCTGTTGTTGTTTCCTGGTATAAGGGCACCAAGGTAGGTTTTTAAAAACCATTTAAGTGCAAATGAAACGATTCTTAAGTAAATGCTGACCAATCACATGCATCAGGTAAGAAATGTGGAGCGGTGGTGAGTTAAAAAGTACAGCAGGTGAGTGATGACCCAGGGATTCAGTCCCATCCCTTTAAAATAGATATTCTGAGTATTTCTGAGTGTATTTGTTGTCACTGCTAACCCAGCATCCTCTTAGAGACACTGAAAACATGGCTGTCGATGTAAAAACGGAGGAAAACAGAATTTAGACATCCAATAAAAGTTGAATACAAAATCTACAGCTTCTTTGGTTATACTTCTTAAAATCCCTGCACCAAAGTCAATACAAAGACTACATTTTCAGCTTTAGTGGAATTTTGGTCTAGCACCACCTTCAACTAAATTATTTTTAACAGGTACACTTTCAGTTTTGATGTGAAATCATTATTTTTCTCTTCGACATTTGAAATGACAGGCTCAACAGTTGACAAAGCTACGTGTCCAAGTAACATAGTCTAAACATTGTGAAAAAGTCCAGCAGGTCTCGGAGTAAAGTTGCTGACTTCTGCTTTCATTTGTATGTGTAAATGCTGCCATGTATCCAGTGAGAGTTGACCTGTGCATCTCAGACTGGTTTCCAGCCAAAACACTGACTTGTATGTCAGTATCTCGTACAATCACACAGATAAAAATCCAAAATATTCCTTTAAACCCGTTTGTGTGAGAGTTTAGAGAACAGGTGTTAAAGGGAAAACGTGAGGTTGAAAAAGAAAAAAAATATAAAATATTTGTTATGAGCGTACCGAGCTCCATGGGTCTGTGCTCCAGTGGGGGCCAGACGGGCACGGCTGAGTATTGCACTGCTCGTTATCTGGAGGCTTGTCGTGGATCTCGCAACTCAGATCGCTGAAACGTTCACCATTGGGTCGCTGACACACCACCAGCCTCGTCTTTATGCCACCTCCACAGAGCTTGGTGCACTGAAGAGAGAAATAGCAGAAATGTCATCAGAAATAGAGCTACACAGACATAAAGCTCTCTTAAACTCTCCGAGTGTGAACATTACTTTAATGATAAACACTGCTGTGTAAGAGTTTCTGATGAGAAGTGATTAACAGTGTGCAGTCTGTTGCTCCTACCTCTCCCCAGTTTCCGTAGACCCACTGTGGACAGGGTCCGGACTCGCAGGATCGCTGCTCACTGGGTCGACTTCGATCCTCACAGTTGTTGGCATGGTAGCCGTTCTCATCCTGGCAGACAACAACACGCCGCTGGAAACCTCCGGCACACGTGCTGGAACACTGAGCCAGAGAAGAGCATGTGATGTCAAACAGGGTCAGAAATGAGCAGAGGTAAAAGGTAAAAAACTGAACCTGGAGACCTTCATTTTCACATCACGTGTCAGACGTTTTTCTAAAGTAACCTTTTGTGATTAGGTTTTTTAAATGTGCGGCCAATTCAGGGTTTTTTTTCTAGTCCTAGCTGACAGCCATGTTTTCAGTGAGAGCTCGTCTCCATCAGTCAGCCTGTTTGAGCTGGGGTGGATTGTGTGGAATGAATTATGCCTTTAACATGAAAGTAGTAAAAAAGAGTCTTATCTAACTCTTGGCAACTATCGTTTTCTAAAACATCTTCTCACTCTGATCTGATGAGTACAACTCACTGATGTGGTGAAGCTTTGAATATATTTGTACAAGATGAAGAAGTAAATTACTATAAATATATCTCCAGAAAACTCAATACTGATGGGATACAGCTGTGTCTATGATAAGAACTGACTAGAAATAGTTTCTCAGAGACTGGGTGTGTGTGTGTGTGTGTGTGTGTGTTTTCAGTCAAATGTCTTACCGCGCCCCAGGGTCCAGTCCTCCATTGGTGGGCCTGGCTGCGGGGTAGGTTGTTCCTAGTGCTGGTGTTTGGTGAGGACGGTACTGGCCTGAACTCACTGGAGCGGGTTGGGCATTGAGCCATGGCACAGTCCTGCTCGGCGGCTGGTCGGTCATCTGGATCACACTCGCTGGTACTCACTTCCTGGTCGTTGATGATGCACAGTACCTGCCGCGTTGTCTTGCCTTGGCCACATGACACTGAGCACTGAAAACACAGGGACACACAAGTGAATAAAGATTTCTGTCATCCAGATTATTTCACGTATTATAATTATTTTCAAATTAGAGAGTTAATCTTACACGAAAATTGAAATATGACTTATCATGAATCCCACATATGGTAGCAACTGGAGAAATGAAGGCGGCTTATGAAATAATTTACGCATTGTTACTATGCAACTGACAGACGATGACATTGGTCTTGGTGAGTTGACAAAGTATGTTTATAAGAAAAAAAAGGCAGTGGCACGGCCACCCTACTCACTGTGCCTTCACATGTGTAAATAATCAACATGAATATTTGAAGCTGTGCAGTACTTGAAGCTCAGTGTAACTAAGTCTAGAGATAGAGATTTTGAATACTGTGAACATGATTCAGAAACCTTGGAAATATAAAGAAAGATGAATATGAGGAAAACTATTTTTGCAGTAAACACTTTTTATTCAGAAAGTGTTCAGGGTCAAAGGGAATGATTATGACTGGCCTACACAAACCCCTGACTAGACCACACTGAAAATCTGTGGAGTGAACCAAAGGTCACGATCCATGCCAGGTGACTATTCAATTTCCCAAAATTCAGCAGAACATCTCAGGTGATTGAAAACAACCACAAACAACTGCTGTCTCTTTTTCCGACAAAAAGACAAAACTACCTACAAGGTGTCGTAATTCTAAAACTGAGATATTTTAAAATGACATTCCTGTAGAAAAGCCTAAAGAAATGATAATAAGACAAAGACCTGACCTTCGTGTTTTTTACAGTCAATGATTGCACTGCAGAACAATAAGGAGAGAAAAAAAACAGTGAAAGCAAATTTGACTTTGACTGGTTCAGCTGCTCCTACGATGAACTTGTTCCAAATGGTAACAGCCCTGGGGAAGGATGACAATAATGGGAACACAACAGAGCACTGACGGCGTCTCAGGCATGTGTTCACTCTTGCATAAGCTGATCTATGATACTTATGCAACAGTTTTGTAATGGAAACCCTCTCCCAGGAATACACTGTCCAGAGGTTTACACTGCGCTGTCAAAATGTTGTGGATTTCTCATAAAGCTCCACACAGTACACACAGTTTATAATACAGAAAGCTTTCACGTCTGATGTGGCCGGAAATCTATCTGTTGGATGACACGTGAAGGAGGCGCAGATATGGAAAGATAACAAATGCCTGTCACACTGGAGTGTTTGGACACTTGACAGCAGTTTCTTGTGCTGGCTTTGTATAGGTTTCCCAAACACCATCCTATGGACATTTACTGGTCATTTGGTTCAATAAATAAATACTTTCCATTTTCTCAGTGTGAAAGTTTTACTTTGAAAAATGACTGGACTCTGTCCGAATTACATACATTTCCTCAAACCTACCCTGACAGTTAATATTTAATAGTTATTATAATTCAAAGCATAATTCTCCCACCTGTGGTGGGACAGTGTTCTTTGGGTTGTCGAGCACTCCCTTCATTCAATAAACTTAGCAATTCTGTGACCAAATAGTAAGAATGTTTTTAGTGACCTATTTTATAAGATTAGTATATTTATTCTTGTGTTCCTTTTATCTTTAATGTCATTTAAAAAAGTACGTTGACACTGCATTACTCTAACAGTACACTGTACTCAAATACCAGGATATTAATAACTACATTTCCAAATTGAGCTTAGCCTCCTCTGTGACAGAAACAGGAAGTAGCTGCACTGCTGCTCAGCACAGAACAAACTGTATTGCTATTATGAACACAGTGGCAACTGTACTCTTCAGTGTCCAGTCTAGACACAAGGCAACATCCTCTCCATGTTTAAAAATCCAATCACATTTGTTTTTGCAATTTTCATTTTGGTCAGAACAACCAAAATATGTGTTTTAGCCTTGGGATGAGCCATTTCCTCTTTAAGGGTCAATGAGGATCTTTGGCTTTGGTGGTTTGTGTGTGGATGTGAAGACACGTGTACGTGTGTGTGTGTGTCTGTGTGTATGGTGACCAGACCCGTAGTCTGGCTGGACTGTATCATCAGTGCTGTGATGAGAAACATCTGTAAACAAGGCTGGAGCCCCTCACTACAGCCTCTTGCATCTCATAACTGTAGTGTCTCGCTGCAGTTCTCTCTCTCACTCGGAGTTTCTCACACTAGCCATGATACTACTCCAAACCAATTTAATTTAAAGTAAATATCTAACAAAAAAAACCCCTTTTTATGTTTTGTCCAGATAAAAAAACCCCTTCACGGCATGAATGAAAAATTATGGAAAGTAAGTGAGTAACTAAAACATGTTTGTACGCATCAACATAGATGGACACGCTGTGTTTCCAAGCCTCTAAACCTTCCACGCACATTTGCCTTCCAGCTGTGGGACTTTCTCTACACCCTGCCCACACAAGGGCAGACACAGTCTGAGCAGATACTTCGAGAAGACCCTCGTGATGAAACGTCACCTTGTCACATTTTCTACACTGAAGTTTGTGCAATTTCTGTTAAAACAGTAATTCCCTGTACCAGAGAAAACTCCATGTACACAAGTTCAAGCTACAGAAAATGAAGCGTTCTAAAAGTAGGTTAATCAAATTCAAGTGGTGGTTCAAACTCAAAGACAAATTTCGGAGGGCGACAGCACGGTGTCTCACACACTCCTGCAGTGTCATCTGGACCAGCATCACTCCTCGTGTTACTGTGCTTCCCTTTAAACTCACTCTCAAGTACAGTATGTCACTAAAGCACACACCTTGTCACAAATGCAATATTTTTTTGGTGACAAAACCATCAAAGTAACAAGGATAAGATGTGACTTAAGTCTGTCAGAAGACTGTTTCGATGCAGGGATCCTTTGACATCAACACAGTGCGAGTCCCTCTCCACTGAGACGTTTCAAAGGGATCCATGTTGGATGTGTTCCCGCAATCTTTTGCACAGACAAGCACAAAGAGCTGAACCTTTTCAGTGATGTAATGACAAACATTTGCAGGCCTGTTACGTTCAAGCATCCCTGGAATTCTACACATGACTTCTGCCTGTTTGTAAGCTTGGGCTAAAAAGGTTTCTGCCAACAGAGGAAAGATGATCCCATCACTGTGGGTCAGGTCATTTAATCATTTAACAGCCTGTGAATAAGACAGTGTACTGTCACTGATATATATATATATCTTTTTAATTGCTGCAAAGATGTCACTAACTTTCAGATATAGGTCTAAGTGTAAGTACTGAAAAGCCTTTTGCCAAACGTCTACATCTGGACTCTGGTGAACCCCTTCAGTCCAGGTCTAGACCAAGAAATCCAAACTAGCATGTGGTGTCCTTGGATGCTGGGGATATGGAAAGAAAACCTCTAGGAGGAAACACATCTGGATGTAAGAACTGATGAAACCGTTTAGATTAATCAGCAGTGCTGTCAATCAGATTAATGAGAGTCAGACCTGCAGCAGAAAAAACTGTCATGATTCAAAAGGAAAACCTCTTGACCAGTTCTGTTTGACCAGAGTCAAACGCATCTCAGTCAAAAACACTGAAGTTCTAAACTTCTAACGCTTTATCCCATAATTCTGTGCTCTAGACGCTCTGAGGTCAATCATGGAGTTACAACCTGGACAGGCCTGTAGTCCATCAAGGGGACGAACAACAATGTTGCACTCGATTTGTAGGTTGGCTGTGGGAGAACCTGGAGAAACCCCCCCCACACACATGGACAGCCATCTGTCCAACCCCAAGCATAAACCAGTGACCTCACCTACTGTGAGGAAAGATCAACGACCACATCCTTCTCATACAGTCATGAAAGAATGGTCTAAATTTTAAAGATGACGCATTATCCCCACAGCAGCTTTATCCCATAAGGTGTTTTTATGGATACAAAAGCTACATGTGCAAAGGTTTAGGATCTTCATCTGGATGGAGTACGCTCCAACCACAGGGCAGACAAAGACCAGGCAGACTGACCTTTTTGTCTAACTTTCAGAAGACAAGGAAGATGGCGTCTTTTAAAAAAATCTATTTTCTTTCCAACAAGCTTTACATTTAAATCTATTTTTTAAAATGCTAACAATCTCGTGTCAAAAACAACCAAACTGTCCTACAGGGTGTATCAAAAGGGTTTAAAACACAGCCACAAACATACGTTAATATGTCTGACATGCATTGTCAAAATGGTGAGATCGCTGCTACACAAGTGGGTTCCTTACCGCCGTCCATTCCATCACTTTCCACTGGCCACAGGCGACTGTCGAGCACACCTCTCGGGCCGGGGGTTTGGGTAGATGGGCACAGGCCGACTCCTCGGCTACACCACCTTGACTGTCCCGACAACTGACATAGCGCATGCGGGTACCTTTGCCACAGCTGGCCGTACACTGGTGAACAGACAAGAAAACGTCAAGAAGCTGCAAACCAACACAGAGTCAGATGGATTTGTTGAATGACTCACCTGAGTCCAGGAGCCAAACCTCCACTGGGTCTTATGGTCCTGATGAGAGGGGACTTTGATCTCTGGAGGAACTGGGTCAGTGCTGGGACACTGAGCCAGCTCACAGTCCTGTGGACGGAAGGACATACATATGTGGACACACATTCATGTAGGAACTGACCAATGGGATGAACAGTTCCAACATACGTCTGTCGTCAAGGAATGAGATTTATCTACACACAGTAACTAGGATGAAGTTCTATTGTTGAAAAGTGGCTCCAGCAAGAATGTTGCAGGTTTGCCAATTAGCCACCAGGGGGCCAACCCAGTGGAGGCAAAACATTTTTTTTTCAAGTGATACAAACCTCCCATGTGACTCACACAACCCACCCTATCACACCTGACCCAGGTGAACACAACATCCTATCATCAGGTGGGGTGTGGTCACCACCTTTGTTTACCTATAACCACGTTCTTTTCAGGTTTTCACACTCTGAGGTCAGTTGGAGCTGAAAAAGCCTCCATCGATGAAGAGATGAAACAGTCCAGGTGCTTTATACTTAACTTAATTAATACTGAATTAAATTGATGGATGTATGAATGATGAGACTGTTGTCAAAAGACTTTCTTTATCTGCCAAAATAGAATAAATAAAAGTGACCATCACTGTTAGCTTTCTTGCTGGGGATTATCACGCTAACATGTTCACCAACGTGCTGTTGCCTAGATCAATGCAAACTCTAGCAAAATAACTGCGTTTCCCATCAATGGCAGCCTCCCATTTACCGAAACAACATCAACAGACCCCGCCCCTTCAGTACAAACTGTGGATTGTGGCTGAAAGCCACTCAGCATAAAGCTGTGATCCCTGTCATAACAAGTCACAGTGGAGTGGCATTCAGGGTTGTAAGGCACCACAATGGCGAGCCTCCAATCGCGCTCCATCCCCCTCACCTTCCACCCCCTCTGCCCTGTGGTGCTGCCCTATGACCCCTCGGTCTCCAGGAATGACGACGTTAATCAGGTCGCACAAAATTTAAGCAAGCTACACATTCCACACAACGAAGTGGCCTCACATAGACTCTAGATGGCACTGATGTATGCGGCTGCCACTTAAAATACTATTTATTATACCAACGCTTCTTCGCAGCAGTACTGTTACGAGAAGACTATCGTCTATTGATCTACTCTAGACATACAAATTAGACCTTCTGATATGTCAAAACGTAAGTCAAAGGGGTGGCCAACATAGTTCTGACTGGGGCAGCCAGCATCAGAGGAACAGGAAGCCTGTTAGCTAACTTCATGGCTGGTTGGTTGAAATCACAACAAGCTGGGGCGTCTGCTTCAGGGTCACTGGCTGTGTTGGCCTAGGACTAGAACTGAGAACAGCTTTGAACAGTAAGAAGGGAAGGACTCATCTTTACTCTGCACATTCAGCTCTCCAAACGTGTTTCTAGCCAAACAAAGCTGCCAAATAACTTGGAAGTGATTTCTTGTGTATTTCTATAGATCACTGCCAGATGTATAGATAATGTACGCAACACAAGAATAACAGCAGCGAACCTGATGCAGTGAAACAGCAGACCGACTGAGTCTGCATAAACAACACGAGCAAACATTTGGACAACACGTGGAATTCTGGGTTGAATTTATGGAAAATATTATGGATTTGTTATTTATCTATGTGTTGTGTGGCGTCACAACTAAAACTGTTGGTGAATCTGCATAATATACACTAACTCTAGCTTTTTGGTTTAGCCATGTGTTGACAGTTACAATCTAAGGTGTTTGCAATTATCCAAACATGGACAAATGAAACACCAAGAGGGTGAAAGTTCAGCACACGGTGTGGTCTATGAGACCCAAACATCACAGGCTCTACTGACTATTGATGCCTCTGTGCAGACACAACATCAGGGTGACTCTGGTTGGACACATTGCTTCAGAACCCAGTGGCCAATCTTACCAAAAATCATTGAAAGTGAATCACGGAAAGGACTTTGTGAAGTGTTTTATGGAGAATACTGTGGTACTACCACAAACTGCTACTACTACTACTGTAAAAACAAATGTCGCACCTGTGTTTCAGTGGGTCTGGTAGCAGCGTTACATTCAGTGTCGTCCACGACAGCGCCGTATGAACCAACAACACACTTGACCGCTCTCATCTGGTAACCTGGTCCACAGGAGGTGGTACACTGGAATGTAAAAATAAACATGACAAAAACAATGGTGAGAATGTATAACATTGTAATATATTAAGAACAATATAATGTAAAATGACATATGTCTATTAGGATCCTCTATTAATGTCTCCATCCACGTATCATTGCTTTTATACACAGTCTACACACACCACACTGTTATATGATCACTTGATAAAAACCCTTCACATACAAACATCTGGTTTTAGCATGAAAGGGTTCATGTGTGTGATACTGACTGATTCTTACAAGCCAATCCCTGAACACCAGCAGACTGCAAAGCAATGTTTTAGATTGCTGCATTTTTCCCCCTCTTAAAGCAATGTTTTAGATTGCTGCATTTTCAAACATTTTTTTCCCCCTCTGCTTTCCTGAAAAACATCTAAAGGTTCGAGCTTGAAATGAATGTCAAAAGTCAACTCACAAAGAGCAACAGTCTATATACATCACACTGATTCTTTTTCCACTGTGGTCAAGTCAGAGAGTATAGTTTTACCCAGCATTCTCTTCTGCTTCACCGCTCGCAGTGAAACAAGGTCAAACTTCAACAACCATTCAGACACACTTCATTAAACAGGTTCAAATGAACCTTAAACACGCATACATACATCCTCTGACAGAGTCGGCTCTAAAATCCAATGTCACAGACTTCCGGGCATTTCGTGAAAGTTTACTCCCACGATGAGGTTTAGTCGCTACTGATCGCAAAGTTACTGGTAATTAATACGTAAATATAAATTTATTTTTAATAATCGTGTACACAGATCAGAACTACTTCAACACCTGTAAGTGATGCTGAAACAGTGTGTTTTCTCCTTCATGGTAGTGAACTACTCTTTCACACACTATAACACATGTATGCTGAGAGAAAAGGTACGTCCTCCTCGTTTTCACCGTTCTGCCCCAGTAGTTCACTTCAAAATGTTCTTAAAAGGTGTGAAATGATCTATGAAAAGGACACGGTGGGCTGAATGATGTCCAGGGAGGAAACTCACCTGTCCCCAGGGGCCGACCTGCCAGGAGGCAATTCCCGTGTGCTGACACGTCTGCACCGACTCAGGTTTTGAGGAGTCACAGAAACGATCATCCAGACGCTCCTCACCGAACTGACACCAGGTCTGACGATGCTTGTAGCCTTTCCCACAAGTCACCAGGCACTGGAAGAAAAACAGTGATTCAGCTTTTAGGGCCTTCCTTCAACGGCTGTGTCAACGGAGCTGTTTTTAAAGATACAAACAAGTCAATATTTAGAGGAGTTGGGTTTAATGATTTAACTGTATGTGTTTGTGGGTCCATTAGCTTTAGCTGCTCTCATTTCATTGTTTGAAAAATGAAGAGTGTTTCTGGTTGGAAATATTTGCTTGAGAAATTAAACCCAACAGGTGGCAGTGTCCTATTATCCTGCATGTTTTTGGTCCGTGGGAGGAAATCAGAAAAGTACCAGGCGTACTCCCTTCAGAAAGACTGGGGATCAAACCAGTGATGTTCTTGCTGTAGGGTTAGAGCAGTAACTGTTTCTTACACCTTATGGCCAATAATGAATTACAGCTTTAAAAAGGAGGGAATTAAAAATGAGAAGTGTGTCCAGCCTTATCCTGGACATTTTAATCTCTGTATAATTTTATTTGTTTTTACCAATGTTGATGTGTGAAGGTCGTTCATATCTGCTGTATCACATGGAAACCACTTGTTTTCAGTGGTTAAGGGCAGATTCATTTGTGATTTATTGAATGGTGAAACATAATATCCCTCTCTCTCTCTGTCTCTCTCTCTCTATATATATACGTATATATAAAACTCTATATAACTTGAAAACACTGGGTTTGTTTGGCAGTGTTTTTTTTTTTTTACAGTGTGCACAGTGGGTATAAAGTACAATATCTGTGTCTGTATTTAGCTGCACCACATGGGAGAATTCAAACATTCCTGGAATGCAGTCTGATGTTCCTGGCTCTTCAGTGTCTGCTCTGCGCAGTAACTGTAGAGTTACTGCAGTACCAGTATACAATCACAGATTTCCTAACACTGACAAAGACGAGCAGGAAGGTCTCTCCTAAAGCCGAGAGAGTTTACCCAATCAAGACTGAGGTTTTACATTTGACCCAGTTCATCACATTCTTAAGTGATGGATTTACACAACAGTCTGTTTCTTGTTAAACTGAACGACGGACTAACACAGTCATCCTTACACAAATAAATGGGGAAAAAAAAAATTGACAAAACTATTAGCCTTTCAGAGAGAATTTTTCTGTTTTTATGAGTATCTTTCAAAATAGACCATTTACACCTAGACACTGATTAAATTATGTTGGTGTTTACTGAGGATGAATGCTGTAGGACCTTCTTTGATGACAGGTCAATATCTTTTAAATGTAAAGAGACAGTGTTTTCATCCCTAACTGAACCTAGACCAGCAGAACTGACCTCAGACCAGTCACCAGTCTTCCACTGTGGACAGAGGAACTCATTACAGGGTTGGACGGTTAGCTTCTCTCTTTGGCTGCATTTGCTCTCGTCACCTCCGGCCTCAGACGCCTTTCGACACGCGGCTCCTCGGCGGCGGCTGCCAACTGCCGCGCCATTTG